AGATGATAGTGGCATCAACTTCAAAAGGTTGATTTAAAGATTAAGGTCAGGTGACAATCCTTTTCCAAATTCCTTGAGATTATGTGTTCCTGAATTTTTTATAGGATACATGCATACCATTTACTACCTAACCCCCTCAATGTGCCCCGGCCAGCACCCCAAAATCTCACACAAGGTCTGCAGCTAAATGTGTGAGTACTCACAGCAACCAAGAGAAAGCCTATAACCAGCCCCGTTTCAGTGCAGGTCGGGCTTTGCCACCAAAGCAGAGTGGACAGCAAACATAAAACATTTAGTCTTCAGAGTTTTCTAGAGTTCAAAACAGTACATAAGGGACTTCAGTCCTAGATAAGTGAATTCCTTACATGGTAACAATGTAGGCACTGTGTCTTCTATTATCAACATGACCACCTATTTTTAAACAATATACATATTTTTAAAAACTAAGACTAATTTCAAAAGGGACAAATGAGCATGGCATTGTATAAAGCTGCGTTCTCTGCCCACATAGAAACAAGAGGAGCTTAGTATTAAGTAAACGGAAAGCCTTCCCGTTGCCTCTGTGATGTAAGGACATCCAAACCTCTAGAAAAATTTTATAAGCATTTACTAGAGTTTATTTGAGTCAATCTGAGGACACGCCCAGAAGCAAGATCTCAATGGATTGAGAAAATGGGAGTTTTGCAGTTCATTTTATACATTGAGAATAAAAGAGAAACTGAAAAGGTTAAATGAAACCCACTGGTGGTAGATTAAGGAGGCGGGAGAAAGCAGAACAAGTGGGGGTGTCTCTGGGATTGGAAAAAAACTAAATGGAGGGATACACACCTCCTTTTACATTGCCAGGTACCAGTCAACATCTAACATTCACAGAAAATAGAGATGGTATTCGGGCAACAAGACTACAACGAGGGGCTTAAGTGCTGAGGCCTGGGAAAGGTTTTCCTGGCATTTCAAAGGTATGTTAACCCAGATGCACAAGAACAAGGGACACTTAGCACAACCCTCTCAAGATCCACCCACGTTGCTGCGAATGGCAGTATTTCATCCCTCGTATGGCCAAGTAGTGTTCCCTTGAATATATGTACCACAGCCTCTTTATTTTTTAATGGTTGCCTTCCACACCCAGGGATTGAGCGTGCCACTGAGGGACATGCCCTTAGGCCGGAATTGAACCCAGGGCCCTAACCACTGAACCAAACCGCCCAGGGCTTTAATGATGAGTCGAAGGACACGGGTTGTTTCCATATCTTGGCTACGGTGAACAAGGCTGCAGTGGCCATGGGTACAGTGTCTTTACGAATACGTGTTTCCAAAATTTCCAGAAGCAGGGTTGCTAGGTCATGGTGGCTGTTAATTTTTTGAGGAGCCTCTATACTGTTTTCCGTTGAGGCTGCACCAATTTACAGCCCACACCAACGCAGGAGGACTCCTCTTCTCCTCAGCCGCTCCTCCTTGTCCTGTCGGCAGCAGCCGTCTGTCAGGTGTGACGTGCATCTCCTTGTGGTTTTGGTTTACATTTCCTGATAGCTAGTTACATGATTTCGCTCATACGCAGACTATAAAACAGAAAGCAACCAATGAGCAAACAAACTCCCAGACACAGACACAGCAGGTGGCTACCAGACGGGAGGGGGTGGGGGGTGAAGAGGGGAGGGGTCAAGTACAGGGCAACAGGAGACTAGACTTCGAGTCCCGGCAGCGAGCATGCGACATACAGAAGGTGCATTATAAACTTGTACACCTGGAACTTGTTATTAATCAGAGTTATCCCAATAAATTTATTTTTTTTAAAAAAAGAACAATGTTCAGGGCTCCCTTAAGGCAAACACAACCCTTCTGCTACGGGAGCTAAGGCATGACCATCATGACCTACCCAGGTAGGATTTCATGATCACATCTTCCTGTGTGGCTACTCTCTCCTTTTTAAAAAATGTTTTTATTGATTCCAGAGAGAGGGAGAGGGGGAGAGAGGTACAAACATCAACGATGAGAGTCATTGATCGCCTGCCTTCTGCACGCCCCCCTCTGGGGATCAAGCCTGAAGCCTGGGCATGTGCCCTGACCAGGAATCGAACCCTGACCTCCTGGTGCAGGGACTGATGCTAAACCGCTGAGCAGCACCAGCCGGGCTGTGTGGTCACTCTTGGTGACTGAGCTTGTCAGGCCTGCCAAGTAGCACCCCCTGAGCTTTTTTGGCTTTCTACACAGTTCCCTTTTCATTCATACCTCTTATTTACTTAGTATTACTTGAGGATTCTAAAATTTATCTTACTAAGGAGCGGGGCAGCATGAATAAACTCTGGACAGCACTAAGAGTAAACTCTGCATCGCAAATACTAAAGCACTCGGAGGTTTTGTGTGTGTTTTGTTTCTTTTGTACAAAAGGTGTTTTTTTGTAAACGTATCTTTATTGATTTCAGAGAGAGGGAGAGGGAGAGAGAGAAACAGCAATGATGAAGCATTTGGAGGCTTTGTGTGTGTTTTGTTTCTTTTGTACAAAAGTTTTTTGGTTTTTTAAATATATCTTTATTGATTTCAGAGAGAGGAAGGAAGAGAGAGAGAGAGCGAGAGAAACATCAATGATGAAGCATCTGGAGGTTTCGTGTTTTGTTTCTTTTGTAAAAAAGTATTTATGTATTAAGATACTTTTAATTTCCATTCTGTCTTGTTAAAGGATCTTGGTTTACTAAAAGGTAACATGGATATGTATAAAAGGAACAGCTTAGAAGTACTTTAAGGGACCAAGCTGCAGAGCTCAAGAGTACAAGCAATATAAACTCAAAAATAGAGGATAACATGTCTGTTATTTGAATACAGAAATATTATAACAAATTTAGAATAATATTTTGATACTGTTTAAGATTTTTAAAACACACAAAAATAATCCTTACAGTAACTACCAGTTACCATCAGTCTTAAAATTGTTTTCCAAAAATACATCTTAATTAGAAAACTATGCTTAATACTAATAGCATTAACACATAAAAAAAGGTGGGCTTATCCTCATTTTCTTAAAATAGGAATTCAAAACTCATACAAGTTATATTATCTTCATAAAACAATACCACCTCCATTCATTGGTACTGACCACTTTAAATTATGTTAAGAATGAAATACATTATTACTATTTTAAAATCTTTATTCAAATTAGATCCATGCTTATTATTTACATTTCATTTAGAATTAAAATGTTTATAGTATCAATGTGTAATTTAAATCATACTTTCAGCCCTTTACAAAATATAGTTATAGTTTAAAACTGAATAGAGAAAATTTTTAAATGAAAATGAAAAATTATGATACATAGTACAAATGTATACATACTACACAAACAAGATAAAATATCTACAGTCATTTTCTCTTTTTTCTTGTGGCTACTTTCTAAATACTGTAAATCATATACTTTTAATATGTATTTGAATAAAACTTTCAATTAATAATTCAAATGCCAGTTGCAGGATCGTGAAAACAAAATTTTCCTGAACGTTCTTTTCATTTAATTACAAAAACCAATGTTTCTTTAGGTCAGAAATTATCCATATTTAGAATATCTTAAAGCACAATATAGATACATTTGATACAGTCCCATGTGCTAAACACTGTAACGCTGGAAGTTCTCAAAAAAGAGGCAAAGGAAGAGAAAGGAATGGTATTCTCAACTGAGTTTCCCAAGGGTTGGAAGGATGTGTGTCACCTGTGCTTAGATGTCTATACATAAAAAACAACATTCATATCTCTTTGACTCTTCTTTCATATTCCTGAAATTAAGATTTGTACTATCTCTGTTTTCTTCCAAGAATGGAAACATCTAACTGCAAACTATATTCTTACTCATTAAAATATAAATGTTATTTTACTAGAATATTGAGAGAGCAAAATATGTCAACCAATATTAAATACATATTCTGTTACTTAGTGGAGTTTTTCAAGAAATTGATTCAGTATACTTCTCAACTTATAAAAGTACTGAGATATCTAAGTTTACAGTAAAATAAGGTCAACTATTCATTTGTAGATAAAGAACAACATATGGTAATATATAGCCAGAGACTAAATTAGCTGCTTTGAATTTTTAAATTACATAAATTGAAAACACTTTAAAGTTTTACGCTGAACTGGTCTTATTAATGTTAATACGGATTAAGAGAAGAGAATGTTTAATATTATGAAAATGAAAAATATGAGTTTTATTTCAATCTTTTCTCCACAACTAAAGGATTTTTTTTTTTTCTCACTAATGAATATTTTAAAAGAACAATTTCATAATTCCTAAACTTCTAATTTCAAACACTTGACAGAATTTTGCAACTTAAGTTTCCTATACTGTATGTTCTAATTCTGTATATTTCTTATTTCTATCAGTCTTGTCATTTGGTCAGCCCCTGAATTTAAAAAAAAAACACAAAAAAAACAAGGTGACAAAAAGCGATTACACTGATTTTATCACTAAAATATAGAAAATTAATTTTATGAATTTGGCTCATATTGAAAGAGTATTTACTAAAGCTAGACATCAGAAATCCAGTCACAGAAATACTGTCTGGAATACAACAAGAAAAAAAAGTCACTTGAATTGCCCAGAAAAGCATTCAAATTCTTCAACATGGCTTACTTATAATTATACTTTGAAGTTTTAGTGTTTAAAATTTAACTCAAAATTAAATTAGAGTTTTTATTTGCAAGTAAAGGCAGCATGACTTTCAGTAATAAAAGATATTAAAATATTCACAAGTATAAAACACAGTCTGGTTAACTTCTGAACAAAGTAACATTTGGACGAAGGCATGGTTATTTTTTAAAGCTATTCTGCACTATTTTTGTGTTTAAAGGTTCAAGAAAAAAATAAAATGATAAATTACACAGAATTGCAAATACCAAATTTAAATTAACTCCTACAATTTCTCTATTTTTGTCAGGAATGTTCTGTAATATCAAACATTTTTAATGTGCTAAAAAAAGGCTTTACAAAATGTGAAAAATTAATTTTCAAGAGAAAATTATGTTAATAATTTTATTATTCTGATTCATTTCATAGGTAGTAAAAACAAAACCTGTTCAAAAACATTTCAATGTTACTGATACCATCACAAATAAGCACATTTTTCCCATTATCCAACCATGCTTAGATAACTGAATAGCTATAGCTTTCTCCAGATAGGTAACAAAATTTGTATAGACTTAATTGTGGAATTTGGGTAAAATAAATGTTCAGACCACAAAAATGTTTTTAATTTAAATTATTTACCCTTTAAACTTCTGTATCAGTGTGACTTCTACTTTAAAAGAAAAAAATTAGTTCAAAATTTAATAACAGGAAATTTAATGATTTTTTTTACTTGGACACTAAATGTCCATTTTCATGAGCAGTAACTAGAAATGTTGAAGATTTAAGTGTGAAAGATTTCAAAGTTTCAATATGTTAATACCACTCATTAAATGTTCTTAATAGATACGAACAATATAAACTATAGATACAATCAGTTATTTGTTTATAATACAACTGTGAACATCATCCTCATTCCCTAACCACACTGACCGGGGATAAAGTAACAAATCTCTGTGCTAGTCAGGAAAAAAAAGAAAGATGCTTTAAAAAATAAATCTTTAAAGATAGTTTCAAAAATAAAGTTCAAATATTGCACAAAATAATTTAACTGCAAATATTACTATATACTATAAAACATTTAAAAAAATTTTTTAATTCTATAATAAATTCCACTTTCTAATTCTATAAGAGAATTTATTGAAAGTCTGCATTTAGCTATTGAATGTTTACATTCAGTTCGATGGGAATGTAATTTTCAGAAGTTAACTGAGCCTCTGTCTTAAAAGTTCATCTATTTGAGTCTTATACATATTCTTTACATCTTCGAGATCTAACCGGAGTTCTTCTGCCTCTTCTGCTTTTTCTCCATACATCTGCAGGATAGTGTTGTATCTCTGATCCAAATCCTACAAAACATATTTGTTTACAATTTGTAAGATAACTGTACAGAACATCTTGATTACATTTATATTATCGTAAACAAGTCACTAATAAATATATTACAATTTAAATAAAAGTATAGTCAGCTCTTATAAAATTAAACTCATACTCCAGTCTGTTGAAATAAATAGCAAGTAAAGGAATTTTTTAAAAACCCTAAGCCAAATGGCTATGAATCTTACATTTCTCCGCTAAATCTACAATTTCCCCCATATATAGCTTAGTCAGTGTTTTCTCCCATTAATTTAAGCACATTGAAATTTTAGTCTCTTTGATTCATTGTGATTTAAGTATTACCTGGAATTACCCCATGGTGGAGTGGGGTGGAAATTATGTATCATAAAACGTATAAATACGTTTCCCCCATACAATGTGTTAACAAGTGACTACTAATACCAAATATGCTAATTGTGACATATACAATATCAATAAATAAACAGTACTAGATAATACAAAAGTGTATTATAAACAAGCCTTGGCCAAATAAAACTTAGTTATTTTCCTATGTGGGATTAAACATGATTGTGAAAAATACTTGGACTGTATAATGTGACAAGCAAAATAAAATATTCATCTTTAAAGTTCTTTACTGAAATACTAATACTCTAATTTTCAAAGAAATCATTAACATATATATGCATTTTGTGTGAAGTAAAAATACAAGATTTAATGTAGCTGGATTAAAATGTCTTAGGTGCACTCGTAAGTGAAGAGTACTCACTCTCAGCTGTGCTCGGAGTCTGGGTGTCTCCCTCACCTTCTCTTCAAGTTCATCATTCTGATTTGTTAATTTAACTAGCTCTTCAGCCATTATGGAGCGTGTTTTTTCTAGATTGCCAATTTCTAGCTGAGAAACATTACCAGAAAGAAATTTAAATAAAAAATATATCTTGTTTAATATTCCTACTAATATAAACATATTTAATGTGTTACTTTTTTAAAAAAATATATCAACATATAACCATGAGGTAGCTTTTTAAGTAAAAGGAAACAGTGGCCAAAAAGAGGGTTTCAACGTTCTTCAGAGGTGCACTATCAATCGGGTTTACTGTGAAAGACACAAAGGCCTAAAGGGAATTCAATCAGCCATTTGAACTATGAAACCCTGTATTTTTCTCTAATCTAAGGAAATAGCATATATTTCAGTTATTCTAAATTACTACAAAAAACCAGAGAAATAAGCCATATTTGAATGTATCTCCAACTGTGTAGACCATATTGACAGACTACCAAAAATGTTAATTCGGTGCCTCAAGCATAGCATTCCTAGCTGCATGAACTTATTAAGATTATGCTAATCTATTTTTGCCCAACTCAAGAAGATCTTCTTTAACAGAGAATATTTTCTAAACTTACTAAAGTCATACAATGGGAATAAATGAAGTTTTACTTCTGAGTATATCAAGTTTAACAAAAAATAGGTTAAAACATTTTAACATCTCTCACTACACTATATTTTAAAAAGCAAGATATGACGAGCGGCTGGTCTCTCCCCACTTACCATGTTTCCTTTCCTGTGCAGTGTTGCAGTCCTAACCTCTCTCATCATCTTTCCTCCTCCCTCGCAGGGGAGTCAGAACAATTCCCTAAATCGTAAATCCAGGAAGAATAAAGTGGGTATGCTCAGCTCAGCAGCCCCCCTTTTTTAAGGTCTGGAAAAGCTGCTTGAAAGGTGCTCTCTGCTCCCAGATGCCCAAGTCTTACCTGGGCAGGCTACACCACCTAGGAGGCCTACTCCAGCCCAGCATTTCCTGTGACAGAGTTAAGTATCCCCAAATCTGGCAATCAGCAGGCTCATTTGCCTCTTATGCTTGGTTAATTTCTCCAACTAGCCCTTATCATTAATACATGTGATACATTTTGGGCTTCACATGCCACTATTTATTGACCCTCAAAATTTCACTTATTACTATAGCATATTTAATTTTCCCAATACCTGTAAATGGGTAATTTCTCCTTCCTTTAGCTTTAGTTGAGACTGTAGATTTTCGATAATGCTGGATCCTGCCCCCATCCTTACAGCATCATAAAGATTGCTTCCACTTGCTGATACAGACATTGGTCCAAGTGAGTGATCATGAGGCTCATCCTGTTAATTAAGAAAGCACATAGTTATTCACATATTATAGTGTTGCATTATAAGGTTCAAACAAATGATTCTGTCAGTTCTTGCTTTAAAATGTCTAAGACTTCTCAAAGGCAGAAAATCATCTATACTCCTCAGTTTCACAAATATTCAGATGAGCTGCCTATGGAATGGGAAGATCACGGTGACAGGCCAACTGCTACCTGCATATCCCTTCATCACTATTCAGTTCAGGAACTAATAAGCACATGCACGAAACAGAACATCACCTGAGACAGGAAAGACGTCTGCAACCCTGCCATCTCAACTCCACTTATTGAGCTTGATCGTGATATTGTGGGAGTGCTAGAAACAGAAAATGTTTTCCGTTCCTCAAGGAATAAGAAAAAAAATTCAGTTCAGATTAAAGAGCAAAATGATAAATTAAAAAAACAAGAAACTTTTCTAGGATTAATGACAGCAATGACTTATAGCTTCCTCATAAAATGTTACAGATCTAATTTCTGAAGTCTTATCCTTGCAAGGCACAATATTTGGTCATTTAAAAGTACAGACAGACTTGGTCAGGTCATCTCAGGACCCATGTATACTGCAGCAACATAATTTGGTTTATTTTTACTGGAATGAGAATGTTCTTGTTAAGACAATTATATGAGCCGGCCAGGCATGGCTCAGTAGTTGAGCGTCGACCTAGGATCCAGGCAATCGGGGTTAGATTCCTGATCAGGGCACATGCCCGGGTTATGGGCTCTAGTCCCAGTCAGGGGCATGCAGGAGGCAGCCGATCACTGACTCTCTCATCATTGATGTTTCTCTCTCTCTCCCTCTCCCTTGCTCTCTCTGAAATCAATAAAGATATATTTTTTTTAAAAAAAAGACAATTATATGAACTGACTGCTTCATATTATATAACATAACATCAATTAAACCAATTTTTTTCTTTTTGTTAATCCCCACCCGAGGGTATTTTTTCCATTGATTTTTAAAAAGAGTGGAGGCGGAGGGAGGGAGGGAAGAAGGGAGAGAGAAACATCGATGTTAGAGAGACACATCAATTGACTGCCTCCGTACACACCTCGACCGGGCCTGGGGATTTCACCTGAAACCCAGCTACACGCCCTTGACTGGGAATCCAACCTGCGACCCTTCTGTGCACAGGCCGCTGCTCTCACCACTGAGCAACAATGGCCAGAGTGGACTAACCCTGTCTCTTTAGAATAACATTACCAGTCAGTTTCATAAACCATGAAAAGTTTCTGGCTTATCCACTTTATTTTTAAAATTCCAAATAAATTCAAAAGGTAATTTCATAACTACTGAGTACATGCCAATCCTTTAAATACAGGAAACTCACTTTAGAAAAATTACTTTCATTAACCAGAAAGAAAGTGAACAAGTTTTACTCCCAAAATGCCTATAGGCCAAATGAGGTGCCTTCATTTCAGTGAGAGACCACAAAAGTCATTTAAAAAGAGGTTCTGTAATTCAAATCCCAGAAATCACACATCTGTTTGGAAAAACTCAAATTACTTTGATTGACTTTGAGCAAGACACTAATTACATTACTGGTGTTTATCACCCTGCTCATTTTAGACATAAAAAATGTTATTTATAAAGTATAACTAAAATTACAAATTAATGATTAATCACAACAGCTACTAACTGGTTACACCAAAAACAAAACAAGACAAAATTCAATACCTTTTCTTTTATTGCTTCTTGAGTAAAAATTGCTTTCTTCCTTTCTTGTTCAACTTTCATTTTCTCCATTTCTAACTGACTATTCAACAGTGTCTAATGGAGAGAAACACAGTTAGATAACTCCTATGATACTATATCATAAGTATCCAAGTCAGCAGCATAAGGTATGTACTCCCACTCGTTTCACTACTGAAGAGCAAGTTCCCAAAGCAGTGGCTCCCTCACTGCGTCTCGTCCTCGCATGAGCTCGCTGCCATCCCCAAGCCCTGAGAGGTGAACGAACCCCAGCAGAAATACCTTTTCTCTCCTTGTCTCTTCAAGTGTTCTTACATAGTCATCTTTTAGGTTTTCTAATTCAACCTGGTACCTATTAAGCCAAAGGGAACAAAACAAAACAAACAAGATCATAATACAGACTATTAACGACTCACGACCTTATTAACTCCAATTACATAGAGTCCTTTTTATTACCAGACTGATTTTCCAGCTTTTATCCAGATGACTTGGGTTTTACTCACGAGCCGAACTACCGCTTTTGTGCATTTTATTTATTGGTGCTTTGGTTTAAGATTTCATTTAAAAAGAGATTTTCTAGAAGGAATTTTGAATACGACCTTTCTATAGTATGTTCAGATTCTGCAAAAACTTGTTAATGGGATCATTGAAAATGTTTGCAAAAGTTCAAATATTTTACTTTATAAATCATTTTTACTTGACTACTTTTTTAAAAGTAAAATTTCCAAGAAAGAACTGAGGGTAAAAACACACTAATCATAGCCTTATATATTTCAGAATGATGTATTTTATAGCTTGTGGTTTCCAAAGACCCAGAAATTTATTTAGAAAGACTGAAGCACGGCTAAAACACTTGTAATATAAAAATAACTCCAGTGAATGGTCTCCAAACTATTTTCTGGTTACAGACTCCTTTAACCAGTCTGATTAAAGCAATGGATCTTTTTCCTAGAAAACACGAATACATATGGAACATGCAACATCACTTCCAGAATACGTGTAAGATTCCACAAAGCCCAGCACTGTATCTGCTGCAATACCCTGTGTCTAATGACCCTCACTTTAAACACTAAAAGTATGTGTTCTTACTCCTCAAGGGCATGAAGCTAAAGCCCGACAGCATATGTTTCTAAGTGCTTTAAAATGTCATAAAAGTACAAAAAATGACTCAAGAAACACGCTCACCTATTTTGTTCATCTTCCAGTTTTCTTAGCCTCTTTTTCTCTGATTCCAGCTGGGCCTGAAGTCTACTGTTGTCCTGTCTTAAGAGAGAATTCTGCGACTCCATGGAAGACAGCTGAATCTTGTTGGCAAGCAGTTCTTCCGTAGCTGCACGTTCTCTTTCAACCGCTGCTGCCAACAAGGTCTGAGATTCACCTGGACGGAGGTAAGGAGAGGAAGTCACACATGCATGTACCCAAGGGCCAAGCACCACGTCAGTTGATTTCTAATGGTGCAAGTAGCCACACTTAACACTGTAACTGCTTATTGCCCAAGGAAGGGCTGCCTATAGACACAAAAGAACCAATCTTGATTTCTACCTGCTTTATCATTTTCCCCACAAATATTTTTATTTGAAAGGGGAGTTACATATTATAAGAGCAGTGGATCAACAAACGGTGCTGGAGGAACTGGGCATTCGTAGGCCAAAAAAGAATACGAAACAAAAAACCTCAAACTAAACTTCACACTGTGTATGAATATTAACTCAAAATGGATCATAGAGTATAAAACAAAATTATAAAACTTTTATGAAAAAATAGAGAAATTCAGGGTCTAGGGATAGGCAAAGAGTACTTAGGTTTGACACCAAAGGCATGAGCTATAAAAAGAAAAACTGATATCCCCAAACAAGAAAATAACTAAAGGACTTCATCGCCACCAAACCAGCATTACAAGAAACATTAAAGGGACTTCTTTAAAAAGAAGGGAAAAGAATTGCCTGGCTGGTATGGCTCAGGTTGAGCATCAACCTAGGATCCAGGAGATCGCGGTTCAATTACTGGTTGGGGTACATGCCCAGGTCTCGGGCTCCATCCCCAGCGCGGGGCATACAGTAGGCAGCCGATCAATGACAACTCTCTCATCATTGATGTTTCTGTCTCTCTCCCTCTCCCTTCCTCTCTCTGAATATATTTTTACAAAGAAGAAAAAGAAATTATAAATATGAGAAAATATTGCAATAAAAAATCCTAACAAAGGGAAAACACATAATAAAAGTAGCAGATCCAACCAACACTAAAGCTAGTACAAAGGTTAAAAGGCAAAAGTAGAAAGATCATGTCTAACTACAACAGTAAATTAAAGGATACACATACACACACACAAAAACATAAAAAATAATGACAGTAACATAAACATGGAGGGGGTAAGTGAAAATCGTAGTGATTTTAAAGTAGTTGTGTGTTTTTTTAAATATGTCTTTACTGATTTCAGAGAGTGGAAGGGAGAGGGAGAGAGAGAGATAGAAACATCAATGATGAGAGAGTCATTGATCAGCTGCCTCCTGCTCGCCCCCAGCTAGGGATGGAGCCTGCAGCCAGGCATGTGCCCTGACAGGGAATCAAACCTCAATTTCCTGGATCCTAGGTCGAATTTTAGAATGTGTTTGAACTTAAGTAACCATCAACTTAAAATAGACTGCTATAAACAGCTTGGTATAAAATGAAGCATATGGTAACCCCAAACCAAAAATATACAAGAAATACACAAAAAAGAAAGAGAAAGAAATCCACAGGCAACACTACAGAAAGTCATCAACATTCGAGAGAATACAGCGAAAGGACAAGGAATGGAGCAGCACTACAGAAAACTAGGAAACAGTTAATGGCACTAACTGCATACCCACCGATAATTACTTTAAATGGATAAAGAAGAGGTGGTGTGTGGACGTAATGGAGCATTATTCAGCCATAAAAATGAATGAAATCTTACCATTTGCAACAACATGGATGGATCTAGAGGGTATTATGCTCAGTGAAATAAGTCAGACAGAGAAAGAATAATATGATTTCACTTATATTTGAAATCTAAAAAACAAAATAAACAAACAAAACAGAAACAGACTTATAGATACAGAGAAGAAACTGATGGTTGCTAGATGGAAGGGGAATTAGGGACCTCAGTGAAAAAGATGAAGGGATCAGAAGTACAAATTGGCAGTTACAAAATAGTCATGAGGATGTAAAGCACAGCACAGGGAATACAGTCAGTAAGACTGCAATAATTATGTATAGTGCCTGATGGGGGCTATACTTACTGGGGGATCACTTTGTAAGGTATATAAATATCTAACCACTATGGGGAACACATGAAAGTAATATAATGTTATGTTAACTATAATTGAAAAATAAGAAAAATGGATAAAATGGACTTCTTCCAAATTTTAAACTTTTGCTCTATGTAAACAGGATGAAAACTCAAGCTACAGGCTTGGAGAAAACAAATGCAAACTACATTACCTAAGACTAGTATCTACAATATATAAAGAAGTCTCAAAACTCAACAGTGAAAATACAGTCCAATCAGGAAATGGGCAAAAGACATTTCACTGAAGAGAATGTACAAATAGAAAATAAGCACTCTCAACAACAAAAATACATATTTTTTAAAAAAAGCACATGAAACAATGTTCAGCGTCATTAGTCATTAGGGAAATGCACATTAAAATCATAACAGATATCACTACACACCTGTCTGAATGACTAAAATAAAAAACAAGGCCCTGGCGGGTGTGGCTCAGTTGATTGAGCATCAATCCAGACACCAAAAAGTCGATGGTTTGATTCCCAATCAGGGCACATGCCCAGGTTTCGGGCTCGATCCCCAGTAGGTGCCATGCAGGAGGCGGTCAATGTTTCTCTCTCTCCCTCTTTCCTTTCTTCTCTAAAATCAATAAAATATATTTAAAACAAACAAACAGGGACAACACAAAATCCTGGCAAAGATATAGAGGAACTGAATTCCTCTCATATATATAGCCACTCTGGAAAACATTCTGGCATTTTCTTTACAAACTAAACATGCAACTAGCCATACAACCCAGCAATTGCACACTTGGGCATTTATCCAGAAAAATAAAAACTTATGTTCACACTAAAACTTGTATGTGAATGTTCATTATAGCAGCTTATCTGTACAGACAAAATCTACAATCAGCCCATACAGCCTTCATCAGGTAAACAAAACGTTGTACATACATATGAAAAAGCACTTAGTAATAAAAAACCTAATCACTGATACACAATAACCTGGATGGATCTCCAAGGAATTATGCTGAGCAAAAAAGCCAATCTCCAAATGTCATATATTATATAATTCTATTCATATAGCATTTTGAAATTCCAAAATTCATGAAATACAGGACAGATTAGTGGTAGCCCAGGATTTGGGACAGGGAGGGAAGGCCACAAAGGTGGTACGTGTAGTTATAAGAGGGCAACATGAGGGATCTTTGCGGTGTTGGGACCGTTCAATACCTTGATTGTAGTGATGAATACATGAACCAGTACAAGTGATAAAATTGTGCAGAACTTAATACACACACACGAATGAGTACCAGCAAAACTGGGGAAATCTGAATAAAATCAGTAAACTATCAATGTCAATACCCTGGTTGGAATATAATTTTGCAAAATGCTAGCATTTGGAGATCCTGGAGAAAGTGAGAATTATTACTGCATGTATATCTACAATTAGCTCAGTAAAATTTTTCAATGATACTGCATCTATGGTCCTGTGAGTAGCACTATACTAGACGTGTGTCCTGTGGCTTCGCCTCTATTCCACCACAATACCACAGACCCTGAGTATAAGGCTCTGGTTTAAAAACCACACACAGCAGCTTCTAGCCTTCACCCACTCACTGCCAAACAGACATTCGTTTCAGGAGTCATTCTCAAGTACCTCACACTTCATAACAAATTGGTCTCAAAACTGCCAGAGAAAAATGACAGATCTAAATTTTATACATATAAATTAAACATTATATGAAGGGTTTTTCTAGTTCAAGGATTTTCTTTTGGAGCAGATAAATCTTTTTTCAGACAAAATCCTACATGGAACTCAAAAAAAGACAGACAAAGGTGGCACTACTTTCATTACTGCAGCTGGACGGGCCCAGCACGGGACAGTCAGCCCTGATTCCCTCAGCGCTGAAACACATCTGAGGAGTCGGCGGAACACTGTCCGAAAGCCACTAACCTAGTTCATTGCTCCCGATGTCCAGTGAGTAGTCCAGAAAAAGGAAGTGACTTGCTCCAGACTATCTAGCTGGATGATTAAAAACAAAACAAAACACAGCCCTGAGTCCTGGTCTCCTGACACCCATTCAGGTCTGCTTTTATCACTTCACCATGATGTCTCTCAAATTACATGGATTTTGCATGAATTTGCTAGCTTCTAAGATATCTAGCATACACATATACTACCTGTCTGTGCTCAAATAAACATCTTGGAAAAACAATTTTCTTTTTATCAACAGCACAGAAGGGCAAACTAGGGCACTTCTGTAAAGAAGCAGAATATGAAACCTTAAGACTGCACAGCCTCTGAACGCTGGATTTAACCTTGGTCCTCCTTAGACCGAGCTCTGCTCTTGGAGTTCTACCATTGACGAGAACCATCTGGTCTCTACCTTCCACACTACTGCAGACAAGCTGGAAAAAGGTCAGATTTAGCAAAAAACAAGGGAAAAATTGAGTGCAGCAGTGTGTAAAAATGAATGAAAAACAACATGTAAATAATTTAGACAGTATCTGGTATGTTTTATTAGGGAAAACAAGTGATTTGAGAGTCAATTAAGATGTTAGAAAATAAATGTGAAACAGAAGAGGTAAAAATCTGCATGTCAGACACAAAATGTAACTATCAGATCAAGTGAATTTCAACTTCAGACCATCGCCCTAATTGCATAAACAAGGTGAAAGGGCGTCTGCACTGAGCTTAGGAACTAAAGCAGTTACCCAGCCTATCAGAGAGAGTCTTCTCTAACTTCTCCCACGACGAGGTCTGGGACCCTAGGGTTGCCTGCAAATTTTCTATCTGTCGAAGCAATGGTCTTGTCGTTGATGAAACACTTTGACTCAGTTCCTGGTTTCGATTCTCTGCTTCCTGGAGTCTCTGAATCATGAAATTCTTAAAGTTATTACCACTGACAGCAATAAAACCAGTAAAAACACTAGCAAACTTTAAAAGAGATTTCTGGAAAAATTATTTCTCCAAGATAGAATTACTTTTTAAATTAAAATATTTTCTAATTATTCAATCCTTAAGTTAGAGTTATGCTGCCTGATTGAGTATCTGAATAAGTGCTTCTTTACAAAGCTTTTTCTAAGATAAAGACAGCCTCTGACCATCTTAAGGTAACATGAATATCATCCGAACCTCCCCGTAGTTGCTTCCTCACTGAAACCTCTAAGTATTTATAAAAACAGGAAGGTCAACCTGAGTTGCATTTTCTCTCCCTTCTCCTATGCATGTTCACTGACTGAAACTTAATAGAGTAGTAACATGAAAACTGAGCACTGATGACCTGCCCCACCGTAATCGACTGATAATAATTAATAAACCAGCTATTACAAATGAAAATACTGAATAAATCTATCATAAAATGATTTTCTATAAAATAGAATTAGGGATTTTCTTATATATTTTTTTAAGGTTCCAACTCTGATTTTATTCACACAAGCCACAGAAAAACAGCAAATGATACGTATGGTAGTAATCCTCCCAATTCCACAAACAGTACCCACTGAGTCGTTTTTTATTTCTAGGAAAACTGTGACAGCACCTGCTGGAGTTCACTGATCTCATGGCGTAAATAATCCTCTTTTCTGGCAGCTGCTTGTTCTGCACGTTGCAGGGCCAGCCTCAGGTCTCCAACCTGTATGAGGAAAACCAACACACTATCACAGTCTCAGACATTGTCTATAACCTCCTGCTAACTACATATTTTCTGTTGTGTTGACTTACTGTTCATGTATAATACTCTATACTATCCATGAGTTTTTACATATGATTATCACACATCCCATTCATCAAGCAATTCCCAAACTGTATGTATTTTCACTCTGTACTAAGGAAAGTACTCTGACAGGCAAAAAAAGAAAAAAAAAAGATATAAGAACATACAAGGCACAGCCACTGCCCACAAGATAAGAGAGACAACACATCCATAAATGTCTGCAGTGAGCAGCCTGTGGCGGCTACACAGGCCGAGAGCCAGTCCTGAGAGTTCACTCTGTGGAAGCGTATCTCTATAAACAGAGACATTCCCTACACTGTCAACTACATCAGCAATCACACACAAAACATGAAATATTCTAAATATCCATCAGTGGTAAACTATTTTTTCAAATCTTAATATACCATGAATATATCCATTCAAAATTATGGTAAATGTAAAAGACATGTAAAAATGTATGACTTAATCTTAAAAGAAAAAACTATAAAGTAATATATATTATATCAAGTATAAAAATACGTACATGGAAGTAAGAACAAGAAGGTAACACACGAGCTCTCTACCTCCCATCCCTACAATTTTTCATAATTATTGTTCTAGTGTATTTTTTATTTAAAACATTAGTAATTTCTCTATCCCAGTGATAGAACAGCAGAAATACAAGGGGTATATGGACTATGGCATGATTTATAACATCAAGTTATTGGTATTATAAACTACCCAAATGTCCATTAATAAGAACTGACGGAATACAATGAAGTATTGTAAGTGTTAAAAGAAATTTTTTAAAAAGCTCTACGTTAAAAAAGCTTCTACGTTATGCTGTGGAGTGATGAGCAAGATCCTCTATTTGGTAAGTAAAGCGAGCCGTGAAGCAGTGTACACAATAAGCTGTGCACTTTTCCTGTTGTCCTCCCTGCCTGCCGACCTCCCGCAGGTGTCTGCTCACCCCAGGCCCCTGCCGCAAGGCGGCGGGGATTCTGTCCGTGTTATTCTTTAGGCCTGTTTCCACACTGCCAGATATGTGTGTGTGCACGTGTATATGTGCGTGTACATGTGTGCGTGTATATGTGCGTGTACATGCGTGTGTGTGTATAGATATACAGGGAGATATAGGTATATATAGGTGTGTATATATAAATTTCAGATCTTTGAAGTTTGCTGGCATTTGCTTTACAGCACAATATGGTCAGTTTTAAAAAAGTGTCAAGTATGCCTGAAAATCACATGTAGTTTGCAATTTTTCGGTATAGTGAGTATACATGTTGAATCCAATGTGCTGCTTGTGAGGTTTTTTAAATATCCTTACTGAGTTTTTGTGTGGGGTCTATTGGTTCTGAAAGAAGTATGCTCTGTCCCAGAATGAGAAGGTTGTTAAAACTATTATTGTTACCAAGCAGGAACAGGGCCAGGAGAGGGTCTGCCTTGGGCTGACCGGCAATATGTGGGTTCTCGACTTCATGTAGGAAATATTTACAACTTAAGTCCAGGTGATTTTGAGAGTACATTTATTAAAGCTGGGGACAGTGAAACAAGGGCGGGCTTAGGATAGAAGCAACAGGAGAGGGACTAGGTGAGGTTGCTTTGGCTCACTGAGAAATCAAAGTCACAGCAGAAAAAGTGAACCAAGGCAGGGCTGCTGTCAGCTGATTGGAAAGTCAGAGAGAAAGGGGCCTCAGAGAAGGGTTCAGGGAGTTAGCCCTGTGTGAGCTGCCACTGCCCATTGATACCCTGGATGCAAGTCTCCTGGGGACCCTTAGCATTTAGGAGATGCACGCCTGAGAGGGAAGAAGAGGGGCGAAGGAAAGGATGCTCCTGGGAGGGAGAGCTCCAACAGTATATTTTATGTATGAAGGATGAGGGAAATACAAATAAATATGTTTAGAAGTGTATAAGCAAATGTATAGAAAATGTATATTTTCTTGAATTAATGTATAGAAGCACTGAAAAAATAAACCAAACACCCATAAAATGGTTACTTACAGCCTAGCCGGTGTGGTTCAGTGGTTGAGTGTCAACCCATGAACCAGACAGTTTGATTCCTGGTCAGGACACATGCCCCAGTTGTGGGCTTGATCCCCAATAGCGGGCATGCAGGAGGCCACCAATCAATGACTCCCTCTCATCATTGATGTTTCTAACTCTCAAAAAAATACTTTATTAAAAAAATGGTTAATTATTAAAAATAGGCAAATACAAGGAACGGGGATGGGGCTAAGAAACAAATGTCTCAATATATTTTGTTATATAGCTCTCACTTTGGAATCATGTAAATACTTTACACATTCACGCAGAATTAAATCAAAAGTGCAACTGGAGTCAGTACGGAAAAAGTAGTCTTTTCAACAAATGGTGCTGGGAAACTAGATATCCACAAGCAAAAGAACTAAATGTGAGAGTTAAGACTATAAAACTTTTAGAAGGAAACAGGTCGAAATCTGCATAACTTTAAATTAAGCAATGGTTTCTTAAATATGACACTGAAGTACAACAAAACAGGTAAGTTGGACTCCATTAACATTAANCTTTAATCTTAATAAGTAACTATAATGTTTTCCAGTTTGGGAAGCTGCTGGTTCCACACTCCTGAGCATGAAAATATTATAATGCCTCCATAGGAGTTAAAAATAAAAATAATACTAAGCCCCCCAATTTTTTTGTAAAATATATCTTTATTGATTTCAGAGAGAGGAAAGGAGGGGGAGAGAGCGAGATGGAAACATCAATGATGAGAGAATCATTGATGGGCTGAAGCCCACAACCCGGGCATGTGCCCTGACCGGGAATCGAACCCCGATCGCCTGGATCCTAGGTCAACGCTCAACCGCTGAGCCACGCCCGACTGGGGAAAAAACTTTTGTGCATCAAAGGACACTATCAAGAAAGTGAGACAGCCCGGCCGGGCGTGGCTCAGCGGTTGAGCGTCAACCTAGGATCCAGGTGATCAGGGTTCGATTCCCAGTCAGGGCACATGCCCGGGTTGCGGGCTAGGCAGCCAATTAATGACTCTCTCATCATTGATGTTTCTATCTCTCTCTCTCCCCCTCCTTTCCTCTCTCTGAAATCAATAAAGATATGTTTAAAAAAAAAAAAAGTGAGACAACCTATATAGAATGCGATAAAATATTTGCAAATTGTATATCTGATAAAGGTCTAGTATGTAGAATAAAGAATAACAAAAAGACAACCCAATTAAAAAATGGGCAAAGGACTTAAATATTTGAAAAAATTTCTCTGAAGAGGATAATGGCCAGTAAGTTACATAAAAAGATGCTCAACATCAGTAGTCATTGACACCACAATCAGATATTACTTCATACCCACTAAAAGGGTTACAATGGAGGGAAAAAATGGACAATAACAAATACTAGAAAGGATATAGAGAAATTAAAACCCTCATATAGTCCTGCTGCTATAACTCAGTGGTTGAGCACTAACCCAGGAACCAAGATGTCACAGTTTGATTCCCGGTCAGGGCAGGGCAGGGAACATGCCAAGGTTGTGGGCCTGATTCCCAGGGGTCACGCAGGAGGCAGAAAATCGATGATGTTTCTCTCACATTGATGTTGCTATCTCCCTATCCCTCTCCCTTCCTCTCTCTGAAATCAATAAAAACATTTTAAAAAAATTTTTTTAATAGAACAAAAATTAAAAATCAATAACGTTTTTTAAACCTTTGTATATTACTGGTGGGAATGTAAAATGATGCAGCTGCTGCAGAAAAGTTTGGCAGTTCCTCAAAAGGGTTTAATATAGGGTTACCATATGATTCAAAGGTATATATCTAAGAGAAATTAAAATCTATGTTCACACAAAAAATTATAAATGAAGGTTTAAACAGCATTTTTCATATTAACAAAAAATATAAAAAGTCCAAATATCCATCAACTGATGATTCTATAAGATAAAGTCTGACAAATTTTGGGATTCCTCCTTCATCTGAGGTGCATGGAGTTACATAGATTCTCCATAAATTTTATGCAATGTTTAGCATTTATCTGCATACGTGCATTTCTCTGGTAAGAGGGTCTTTAGCTTTCATAATATTCTCAAATAAGTCCGAAATTCACAAAAAATTATGCAATACTTGTATAATTTAAGCATCACTTTAACAGTTAAAAAACCACAAAATTAAGTTTGCCCACCAGTATTATAAAGGAAATATAACACATGTCCCACAAAATAAGGTTTGACTCAAGCCAATTAATGAATTTTTTAATATGCAGAAGCACAAATATGTAAAAGACGAATGTCATCATCATCCATTGCTCACCTGAATGGCTAATGCTTCTTGCTGCTGACGGGCTTCTTCTTGGACCTTCTCTAATGCTACAGAAAGTTCTTCTTTAGCTTTCATTTCATGACTCAGAGCAGCTTCCTGTGCCTCACTATCCTTCGCAGCATTGGCTTTGTGGAGATCAGTCAGTTCTCTTAAAAAAAGTTAGACTGATAAGTTTTATTTAAAATAATATGCAGTAAATTACATGGCCAAGGTTATGAGGTTGCCATTAGATTTACAGAATGAGGGAGAGTTCACCACATAATAATGTGACTGCATTGCAGTAAGTACTTTCTCTGTTGAACCTGCTTTGAATAGTTACAAGTTCATTTACAGCTAAGTTTACATGTTGTTAGTGATCAGATAAAAGAAAAAGGATTTCTTCAACATCTGCATTTAATTTATTTGAAATGAGTTGCATATCTATTCATTTTCTTACTTGTATGCACTGTCAAGAGCAGCCTGAATACTTCGGTTCTTTTCTTCAAGTTCATCCATGTCCACTTGAAGTCGGCCAAGATCCTTTTCTTGACGTTCGACCACAGAATTTAGTTTTTTAATATTTTCTCTGTGTTGTTTCTCAACTTCCTCCTTGCCATCAAGGACCTATATTATAAAAACAAGCAAAAGTATTCTTCAATAAATAACACCAAGGTAAATAACTGTATTCCAGGAACCTCAAGTATTATAACAAAGAATAATATTAACATTCATCTACTAAATTGTTGAAAAATTCTTCCTACCCCAATAAATCATTCCAAATGTTTTATAAACCACAGTGAACTTTTCAGATGGTAATAATAATTTATATGTAGAGAATGATTAACACTCACCTGTTTCAAATGTTGCAAATCTTCTTCTAGCTCTTTAACTTTTTTCTTTAGCTTTACAATAATATTTTCATTTTCTTTGTCTTTAGCTCTTAATTTCTTAATGATGTTAGAACTTTGCAGCTGCTGTTTTGAAAGTTTTTCTCCTGGCAATGGCAAAAAAGTATAAATTCAAATAACAGTGATTCCCTAAGAATCTAAATAGAATGTTTCTCTCACCAGTGATATAAAATGGTAGAATACTTTTAAAAATCACAAAACTGGAACCACTAATGTTAAACTGATCTGGATAAGAATCATCAATGAATGCTAAAATTAGGAGGTGGAAGGATGGTAGGAAACAGGATATATACAGTCTTAAACAAGCACTCCACGTAGTACTTATGAGTTACAAAGGGAAAGAAGTACTTTTACAATGGAAAAATCTGGCAGTTACTACCTTACCAAACATCTAGTTTTGGCATCAACAACTGTAGTATACAGTCTGACATTAGTGTCTATGATGTGATAAAGTGGTAGATGCACAATATCACTTATAATATTTATTAGAAATTTGATCTTTATCTAATCACAAACAAAGTAACAAATTCCTGAACATGGGGCACTCTGTAGGACAGTTGGCCTGGACTCTAAATTAAAAAGTCTTCAATGTCATGAAGAAACTAGAGCTATCCTAGATTGGTGGAAGACCAAAAATGTATACATAATGGCCAAATATAATGCACAAACTTTGACTGGATCTTGGAGGAGGGCAAATGACCAGCTATAAAGGTCATTTTTAGAGACAATTGGGATAAATGATGAAATGTATGCTGGGATACACTTCTGAATTAAGGCTGATTTTCTTATGTGTGATTATGATGTACTTGCGAAAGAAAATTACTTGCCCTTGGGAGATACAGACTGAAGAATTTAGGAGTGCACTACAGATTCAATGCAATACTATCAAATTTCCAAGGGCATATTTCACAAAAAATAAAAATTAAAAAAAAATCCTAAAATTCACCTGAAACCACACAAGGCCTCAAATAGCAAAAGCAATCCTGAGCAAGTGCAAAAGCAATCCTGAGCAAGTACAAAATCAGAGGTATCACATTTCATAATTTCAAAACATACTATAAAGTTTTAGTAATCAAAACAATATGGTATGGGCATAAAAACAGACATACAGACCAACTGAACAGAATAGAGAGCTTAGAAATAAATACACACATTTACAGCCAACTGATCTTCAACAAGGATGTCAAGAACACACAATGGGGAAAGGACAGTCTCATTAATAAATGGTACTGGAAAATTGTATTTCCATACACAGAAGAATGAAATTGGTCCTTATCATATACCAAATATAAAAATAAACTGAAATAGATTAAAACCTTAAATAATAAAACCTGAAACTGTGAAACTACTAGAAGAAAACACAGGAAAAAAGCTTTTTGAAATTGATCTTGGCAATGATTTTTTTGGATATGATGCTAAAAGAACAGACTACAAAAACAATAATAGACAAGTGTGATTGCATCAAACTAAATAATGCACAGCAAAGAAAACAATCAACAGAGTGAAGAGACAATCTACATATTAAAATATTTGTCCTTTTGCATCTGGCTTCTTTCACTTAGCACATTTTCAAGATTCATCCATGTTGTAGAATGTATTAAAATGTCATCTTTCTTTGGCTCAGTAATATTCCATTGTATGGATATACCACTTTTGGTTTATTCATTCATGTGTTACTGAACATGAAAAGTTGTTTCCACCTCTTGGTTATTATGCATAATGTATGAGTGAACATTGGTGTATAAATACCTGACTAGGGACAGTTGCTTTGGGTATATACTTAGGAGTACCATTGCTGAATCATATGGCAATTGTATTTTTAGCTTTTTAAGAACCTCCAAACCTTTCCATAGTGGTACACCATTTTATATGTACACCAGTAATGTTAAGAGGTTTCCAATTTTTCGATATCTTCACCAGTATTTGTTATTTTCTGGGTCTAAAAAGAATTTTTTTTATTGAACTTGTTGGAATAACATTGGTTAATAAAATTATATAGGTTTCAGGTGTACAATTCTATAATACATCATCTGTATATTGTATTGTATGTTCACTGCCCCAAATTAAGTCTCCTTCTATCACCATTTATCTTTTCTTCACCATGTTCACGGAAACAACCAAAGTGTCCTGCAATAAAGGACTAGATAAAGAAGATGTGGTACGTGTATTCTACTCAGCCACAAGAAAGTATTAAATACTACCACGCAACGACATGGATGGACCTTGAGAATATTATGCTAAATGAAATAAGTCAATCATAAGACGCTAAGAACCATATGATTTCACTCATATGTGGGATATAAAACTGAAACTCGCCCGGCTGGGCGTGGCTCAGCGGTTGAGCATCAACCTAGGATCCAGGCGATCGGGGTTCGATTCCCGGTCAGGGCACGTGCCCAGGCTGTGGGCTCGATGATGTTTCTACTTCCCTCTCTCTCTCCTCTTTCCTCTCTCTGAAATCAATAAAGATATATTAAAAACAAACAAACTGAAACTCGTGGACACAAAGAGCATTGTAGTGGTTGCCAGAGAGAAGGGGGTACAGGGATGGGAGATGAAGGGGATCTTATTATATGGTGACGGGATAAGATATGACTTTGGGTGGTGGGCACACAGTGCAGTATACAGACCTTGTAACATAGAAGCCCACACCTGAAACTTGTATATTCATATTAAACATTGTCACCCCAATAAATTTAATCAGGAGCATCTGAGACAACTTCATGCATACCAAATTCAAATCATGGGGGTTACAGAAGGAGAAGAAAGGAAGCAAGGAATTGAAAACCTATTTGGAAAAAAATGACAAGAAACTTCCCCTACCTGGGGAAAGAAATAGACTTACAAGTCCAGGAAGTGCAGAGAGTTCCAAAAAAGATGAACCCAAAGAAGCCCACACCAATACACTTCATAATTAAAATGCCAGAGGTTAAAGACAAAGAATCTTAAAAGCGGCAAGGGAAAAGCAATTAGTTACCTACAAGGTAGTGCCCATAAGACTGTCAGCTGATTTCTCAACAGAAATTTTGCAGGATAAAAGAAAGTGTCAAGAAATATTGAAAGTGATGAAAAGCAAGAACCTGCAACCAAGATTACCCAGCAAAGCTATCATTTAGAACTGAAGGTCAAATAAAGAGCTTCTCAGACAAGAAAAAGCTAAAAGAGTTCATCACCAACAAACCAGTATTACATGAAATGTTGAAGGGTCTTCCTTAAGAAGACGAGGACAAGAGGCAGAGAAACATGGAACAGATTGATGAATCTCAGATGGAAAAGGAGAGAGGGTGAGAAGAGATTAGCCAAAGAACTTATATGCACATACGCATTACCCAAGGACACAGGCAATAGGGTGGTGAAGGCCTGGTGTGGGGCGGGATCTGGGTGGAGGGGGACCATATACTCTCAACAACAAACATTAAATTGAAAAAAAAAGAATGGTTATAAAATTGCTCTATTTTCTCTATAAAGTTCATTAAGCAAAAGGAAACATAAGTCCAGCCATGACTAAATTCCTAAATTCCAAAATAATGGCATTAGATGTTAATATTTTTAATAAATTTTTAAAATAATAAAACCATGCACTTAGCCTTCCCCTCAGTCTCTAATGTTGTAGCACAGGGCAGTCAGTGACTTCAAGTTATTTCATCAACTCTTCCTTCATTCTTCTACTTCAGCGCTTAGATTGTTTTATCTTTGTACCTATATTTCCCTCTCCTAAAGGGCAGGCAGTGTGCTATATTTATTATTGTGTCAAACACATCTGATTCGCTGTTAAATAATAGCTTAATAAAAGAATTAGAAACAGAAGAAAAACCCAGAGTAAGTAAAAGGAAGGAAATAATAAAGATCAGAGCAGAAATAAATAACATAGAGACTAAGAAAAACAATGCAGCCCGGCCAGGTGTGACTCAGCAGTTGAGCATCGACCTAAGACCCAGGAGATCACAGTTCAATTCCCAGTCAGGGCACATGCTCGGGTTGCAGGCTCAATTCCCAGACAGGGGCCATGCAGGAGGCAGCTGATCAATGACGACTCTCTCACCATTGATGTTTCTATCTATCTCTCTCTCTCTCCCCCTTCCTCTCTATGAAATCAATAAAGATATATTTAAAAAGAAAAAAGAAAAATAGTACAAACATCAAGGAAACCAAGAGCTGGTTCTTTGAAAAAATAAACAAGATTGACAAACCATTAGCCAGACTTACTAAGAAACAAAGAGAGAGGACCCAAATAAGTAAAATTAGAAATGAAAGCCCAGCCGGGCGTAGCTCAGTGGTTGAGTGTCAACCTAGGATCCAGGCGATCTGGGTTCGATTCCAGGTCAGGACACATGCCCGGGTTGCAGGCTCGACCCCCAGTCGGGGACATGCAGGAGGCAGCCAATCAATGACTCTCTCATCACTGATGTTTCTATCTCTCTCTCTCCCTCTCCTTTCCTCTCTCTGAAATCAATAAAAATATATTAAAAAAAAAAAAAAAGAAATGAAAGAAGCAAAATAACAACAGACATGACAAAAATACAAAGGATTATAAGAAAATACTTTGAACATCTATATGCCAACAAACTGGACAACGTGGGCGAAATGGACAAATTCCTAGAAACATACTATCTGCCAACACTCAATAAGGAAGATGCAGAAAACTTGAATAGGCCAATGACAACTGATGAAATTGAAGCAGTAATCAACAAACTCCCAGCAAACAAAAGCCCTGGACCATGGCTTCATAGGATAGTTTTACCAAACATTCAAAGAAGAGAAATACCCAATCCTCCTCAAACTATTCCAAAAACTCAAGAGGAGTGAAGACTTTCAAGCTCTTTTTAGGAGGCCAGCATTATCCTAATTCCAAAACCAGATAGACACTACAAAGAAAGAAAATTACAGGACAATATCCCTGATGAACATAGATGCTAAAATCCTCAACAAAACATTAGCAAATCTGATCCAGCAATACATTAAAAAGATCATACACCATGACCAAGTGGGATTTATTCCAGGGATGCAAAGATACTTAAGTATTTGAAAATCAATAAATGTGATACATCACATAAACAAAATGAATAAAAATCACATGATCATATCAATAGACGCAGGAAAAGCATTCGACAAAATCCAGCACCCATTTGTGATGAAAACTCTCAGCAAAGTGGGAATAGAGGGAACATACCTCAACGTAATAAAGGCCATATATGACAAATTACAGCCAACATCATACTCAATGGGCAAAAACTAAAAGCATTTCCCTTAAGATCAGGAACAAGGCAGGGATGTCTATTTTCACCACTCTTATTCAACATAATACTGGAAGTCTTAGCCACAGCAATCAGACAAGAAGAAATAAAAGGCATCCAAACTGGAAAAGAGGAAGAAAAACTGTCATTATTTGCAGATGATATGATATTGTACATAGAAAACTCTAAAAACGCCACCAAAAAATTACTAGATTTTATAAATAAATTTGGCAAAGTAGCAGGATACAAAATTAACATCTGGAAATTGATGGCACTTTTATATACCAATGATGAACCCTCAGAAAGACAAACTAAAGAAACAATCCCATTTACCATTCAACAACAACAACAAAATTAGATACCTGAGAATAAACTCAATCAAGGAGGTAAAAGATCTGTACTCAGAAAACTACTGGACAGTAAAAAAGGAAATAGAAGACACAAGAAGGTAGAAGCATATACCATGTTCATGGATTTCAAGAATTAACATCATTAAAACGTCCATACTATTCAGAGCACTCTACAGAATCATCACAATCTCTATTAAAATACCAACAGCGTATTTCACAAATCTATAACAAGTATTCCAAAAATTTATACAGAACCAAAAAAGAGCCCAAATAGCCACAGCAATCTTGAGAAAGACCAAAGTTGGAAGGATCACAATACCAGATATCAAACTGTACTACAAAGCTATTGTAATCAAAACAGTCTGGTGCTGCCACAATGGAAAAGATGCCAGAAATTGACCCACGCTAATATGGCCAATTAATATTTGACAAAGGAGGTAAGAGCATAAAATGGAGTAAAGTAGTCTCTTCAATAAATGGTGCTGGGAAAACTGGACAGGTACATGCAAAAAAATGAAAACTAGACCACCAACGTACACCATACACAAAAATAAACTCAACATAGATAAAAGACTTAAATGTAAGTCATGAAACCACAAAAATCCTAGAAGGAAACATAGGGAGTAAAATCTCAGACATCTCACATAGCAGTATTTTCACCAATACATTCCTAGGGTAAGGAAAACAAAGGAAAAAATTAGCAAATGGGACTACATCAAACTAAAAAGCTTCTGCACAACAAAAGAAACCATCAACAAAATGAAAAGGGATCCCACTGTATGGGAGAACATATTCACCAATGATACATCTGATAAGGGCCAATTCTAAAAATATATAAAGAACTCCTGGTTCCTCAACACCAGGAAGACAGACAATCCAATTAAAAAAATGCACAAAGGCCTGGCTGGTGTGGCTCAGTGGCTGAGCACTGACCTATGATCCAGGAGATCAAGGTTCGATTCCCGGTCAGGGTACATGCCCAGGTTGCAGGCTCAATCACCAGTAGGGGGCGTGCAGGAGGCAGTCAATCAATGACACCCTCTCTCGTCACTGATATTTCTATTTCTCTATTCCTGTCCTTTCCTCTCTCTGAAATTAATAAAAATATAGGAAAAAAAAAAGTAGGCAAAGGACCTAAATAGACACTTCTGAAAGAGGACATACAGATGGCTAACAGACAATGAAAAGATGCCCAATGTCACTAATCATCAGAGAAATACAAATTAAAACCACAATGAGGTATTACCTCACACCTGTCAGAATGGCTCCATCAACAAATCAACAAAGGACAAGTCTGGAGAGGATGTGGAGAAAGCGGAACCCTGGCACACTGCGCTGGGAATGCAGACTGTACAGCAACTATGGGAAACAGTGTGGAGTTTCCTCAAAAAATTAAAAATGGATCTGACTTTTGATCCAGCAATCCCACTTCTAGGAATATACCCTAAGAAACCCAAAACGCCAATCAGAAAGAATATATGTACCCCTATGTTCATAGCAGCACAATTTACAATAGCTAAGATCTGGAAATAGCCCAAGTGCCTTTCAATAGACGAGCAGATAAAAAAGCTGTGGTACATTTACACCATGGAATACTATGCAGCTGTAAAAAAGCTTTTACCCTTTTGACAGCATGGATGGACTGGGAGACTATTATGTTAAGTGAAATAAGCCAGTTAGAGAAAGACAAATATTACATGATCTCCCTTATAACTGGAATCTAAAGAACAAAATAAACTGATGAACAAAGTATGTCCAGAGTATGGATACGTGGAACAGACTGGGAGATATTAGTTGGGGGGAGGGGGGAAAGGGAGGCAGGGTTCAGGAAGAGATTAATCAAAGAATATACATGCACATATGCATAACCCATGGACACAGACAACAGCATAGGGAAGGCCTGGGGCGGGAAAGCGTTTGGGCAAAAAGTGAGAAAATGGAAGACATCTGTAATACTGTCAACAATAAAATAAAATTTAAGAAAAAAAGAAAAATTCACTTAAACACCTTTTCCAAAACTACTATCTTTCATATGATTTTACATAAAGAAATTAATTCAGTGACCATTTGTAATTATCTCATGAGGATGTTTAATTTCTATAACCCCATTAATTATAAATATTTTCATAGAGTGCTTAATAACTGAAAAATTAAAATATGAATATAATGAAAAATTCACCAGAAAATGCCAAAACAATACAATAATACCATATAGTTCTAAGCTAGAGATTTAGGTACTATATGAACTCCAGAATTATAACCTTCAAATATCTTGGTTTAAATGACAAGCTGCAAAACCTTTACAAGCTTGATTCAGGAAGCACAAATTTCTACCTATTTTTCAGGGAGTTATTTTTTTTTCGCTCTCTAGGAACAAAAAGCTACATATGTGTCTCTCTGCCTCAGTACATCTTGCTACCCATTCTTCCATAAATTATCACTTAACATTTCTGAGATTTAAGTTCAAACCTTCCTTGCTTCCAATATTTTTTATTAGGATGCAGCAGCTAGTTATGTGGCAAGTATTTTTCCTGTCTTTACAATATTTTTCATAATCAACTAAATACGCACCTTCTTCCATTAACCCTCGTATCTGCTCATCTTTGTCTTTCAAGAGGTCTGAAGTTTCACTACTGTTTAATCTAGTTGCAAGTTCTTCTTTTATACTTTTGATTTCCTAATTTAAAAAAAAGAAAAGAAGGTAAATACCATAAAGAATTACTTTCATTCTGGGCATATTTTTCAGTTTTTCTCCATATTCAAAAAAGTCATCAATAATCACATTCTTGATAAGAATATGTAACTTTTGTTCTGTTAAACTGAATTTATTACCTTGGTTAATTAGGACTAAAAAAAGAGCTTTGAAACTATATAGAAAACCTGAATTCAGATATAGTTAGGTTTTAATATGGAAATGAAAGTAAGTTAAATTTCAATATTCTTCTAGAGTATCTATCTACATTTTCTACCTGCAATATATTTGGAACATTTCAAACAGTACATGTCTCCATTTCTCACTGTATTTCTTTTCCTTATTAAAACTCACTCACATGAGTATATAAAGTCTGATCTACTTTGATAAACCAGAGATTCATCAGAAACACGTCAAGATAGTCTGGCTTCTAAAGCTTCAAGGGACATGTTCAATGATGTGAAAAGTCTTCTCTAATTTAAAATGTGGTTTTATGAGATGCTCTGAAATTAAACAATAGCTAAAAACAACTAGCATTTATTAAGTATATAGAACATACTTTGTATCCATTATCATTTAATCCTGACAACAATCCTATGATGGAGGTACCTGCATTATTAAGCTACACAAATAAGAAAACTAAGACTCAGAAAGACTGAGTAAACTTTGAAGGTGAGAGCCTATTAAAAGAGTAGAGCTATGACTTGAAACCAGGTCTGTGGAACCCCAAAGCCCATGCTCTGAACCAACCACAACACTGCTATCCATTTCCATTTCCACTTCCAACTGTCGAAATTTGATTCATACATCAGGGTCCAGTAAGAATGTCATGTCTTACGTGAAACCTTCCTCAATTACCCTGGTCAGAATTCATCCTCTGTGATACCCTTCCAAACTGCTTACTCATCTCTGCAACTCATTTCATTCTGCCTAGCACTTTATAGTTGCTGACATTGTCTTCCATCACTAGAAAAGCAAATTCGTCATTTTAGGTAATTCAATTTACCTTTGAATGTCCTATGCCTCTTAAGCAGGGGGTTCATACATAGCAATACACATAAAAATGTGTTAAAATTTAGGGCCTAAGTTTTTTCCACTACAGTTAATGGTTTGGGTCTATTTTAGATCTACAATTCAATGGGCACTACAGGAAACAAACATTACTTAAAACCTAATTTCTTGATTAAACTGGTCCAGGTGAAACACAGTGGGGACAAAAAGAGATAAGTTGGTTAGGTAATCTCAGGTTATTATTAGTGTCTGAAATGAACTAGCTAGTTAAAGCAACCAAGCAAATGGAGGTATATGACATATTTCTTTTCTGTAAGAGTATACACAGAAAAATTATAAATATTAACAGTAACAGTAGTCAAGAAGGGGGAAAGCAACCTGAGAATGGCAAATGCTGAGAAATGTTGGGATACAACCTTAGTTGGTTACCAGTTTCTGAAATAACCAACTGTTCCAAATGGTTAGACTCAGAACAATGGTCCTCAACTAGGAGTGATTTTGCTCCAAGGGGAACATTTGGCAAAGTCTGGCAACATTTTCAATTAGCACAGCTGAGAGGAAGGGGGGACTGTGGTAGGGAAGGGTGATACTGTCATCTTGTAGGTAGGGGGCTGGGATGCTGGTGAACACCCTACAACGCACAGGGTCCCATAAAACATAAAATTATGCAGCCCAAAATGTCAATAGTGCTGAGGTTGAGAAATCCTACATTAGAATAAATAAATGTTATGCCTCCCAAGAGTCACTAATTTATTTTAAAATTACTTTTACTTGAAGAAGTATATACATTTGAAGTGATAAAAAAATAACAAGAGTAATGATAAATTTTATTTACAGAGTGCCACTTAGACTTGTTATTTACTTTGATGAAATTATCATTTACACAAATTATTCTAGTGATCCTTGCTATATATCTTTCAAGGACTTATACATAAATTACACAAACAAGTATTTGCTTAGAATGTTTTATAGTATCAAAACCTGTAATTCTAAAGGCACTGAAAAATTTACAAATTAAGTACTAATATTCTTATAGTATCCTTTTACTCTTACCTCTCTTTTTTCCAATGCCAAACAAAATACTATAAAGGCACTGCTCAAAAATGTACATCTCTATAGAGCTTCATTAACATAATTTTAAACTTCCGTTACCTTTTTAGCAGCATCTCTCTCTTTGCAGGCTAGCTGGACTTTCTTTTCTGCTTCTGCAATCCTTTGAGTAAACTCATCTTTCAAGGAAGAAATGCTGCTGCTTTCTTCTTTCACTCTGAACATTTCACTAAATTTAAAATAATACTGAGACTGAGGAACTTGTTTAAATATTCCGAAGGTAACGAAATGAGTTCATTTTGCAAAAGCAAAACAACATTGTCTTCAACACATACCATAATAAAATAGATTAGTTTTAGGTTTGATAACTTTTCAGAGAAAAATTACCTGCTTAATTTATTTTAAAACACCTGAAAGAAAACCCATTATTAATTGAAAATGTCAACAATGTTTGATATGTAAAAATACGATAAAAGTAAATGAAATTTTTCATTTTGAATCTTGTGTCGCATTTTACCAATCACCTCCATAAAGCAAATCAATACTAAGTATTTTTTAAAACTATAATATCACTGTTTTCTTTAAAGCCTTGTTTCAAATCTTTAATACTAAAATATTACTAATAATAAGGGGAAAGAGGTTTTTTGTTTTTTCGCAAAATACTTCGCTTCAATGCCAAAGGTAATATGGTAAAGATAACAAGAGGAGAAAGGTAATCTTTAAGGTTAGAACTGAAATGCTATTCAAATTTCTGTAATCATAAACAAGTTAAATTATAAACTATTTTAATTTAAAAACATTCTTGCCCAGCCGGGTGTGGCTCAGCAGTTGAGCGTTGACCTAGGATCCAGTTGATCGGGGTTTGATTCCCGGGCAGGGCACATACCCGCATTGCGGACTCGATCCCCAGTCGGGGCCGTGCAGGAGGCGGCCGATCAATGACTCTCACCATTGATGTTTCTCTCTCTCCCCCTCTCCTTTCCTCTCTCTGAAATCAATAAAGATAAATTTTTAAAAAAACACACAAAAAAATTCTTAAATAACAACCAAGTGCACGGGCTTCTACAAAATGTGTAAAACTATTCACATTTGTAAAATACTTACTCTTTTAGATTGTCATAAGCTTCTTCTAGAAGTGCTTTTTCTTTACTGAGCGATAATAACTGAGCCTCCCTTTTGTCCAGTTTCTCATTCAGAAGTTCAACTCTCTAGATAAGGAGAATATACAAAAGCCAAACATTTAACATGCAGTGATGAGCTGAAAAGGTAACTAACCACTATAATCAATGAAACAGCATTATCTCATAAAAAGAATTAAAACAACATTGAGAAAATGAAGACAGCACAAGAACTCATACGCAGCTGGTAGGAGAGTATAAGTCAGTACAGGCACACAGCAGGTGGGAGTATACATGAGTAAACCACTTTGAAAAACAATCGGGCAGTATCTAACTGAAGATCTACATACCTGTGCTGCAGAAAATTCTATATTCAGGTCTACCTTAGAGGAGAAACCTGTTGTGTTATACAAAAACACTTACAGCAGTTGGAAAGAGTGGGCATATCTCACCAAAGCAGCAGAAAGATAGATGTAATAAATAGATAAAGTTCTGTATCTTAGCTGGGCAGTGGGTATACAAGTGTATGGTTTCCATGTTATTCTTTAATCCAAACGTGTAACATATAATTTTTTAAATATGATACATTGCACTTAAAACGTAACTTTAGAAAATCCATAGGCATGCAATTTAAAATCTCCAGGATATACTGGAATCAATGGTTAGAATATCTTATTCCTTAGGTCCTACTGAAGCAATGACAAACCTGTATGTGAAGGGGGAGGACTGGTGCCTTTTGTACTCAAAAAATAGTAGTAAGTGTTACTTGATTTAGGTCTACGTTAATTAATCACTTGCCTTTTGAAAATAGTTCAGAAATGTCTTATTGATAATAAATAGTATGTTTCTAGGAATTCAAACTGCTAGTAAAGCTACAGTCTGGCATTTTGTGGATTATATTAAACCCAGGTAAGAGAGTCTGGCACTTTTTTTACATTAAATAATTCATTTCATGGCATTTACAGGACATTTCTTCAAAACATCCTATATCTCAAAGGAGTCTATTAAAGATGCCAGATCCAACTCAATTTCTGTATCTAAAAATCATAGGGAAGACCAAAACTGTGACTTGTTGTTAAAGAATTTACAGCACTTTCCTTTTATCCGCATTAGATAGAAGCAATCTGACATTCCTAAACAATGCCTTTGTTCTTTGGACATGTCCCCTTCTTATTCACATATGATAGCTATTTATAGGAAGTATCAGAAATAACATAAAGGAGAAAAAAACAAATTGAAGCAATTAACAACAGAATACATCAAAAATTAACCTAAAAATAATTTTTTTCATTTAAGATTTCCTACAAATGTGACCATGCAGAAAATGCTTTGGTGTAAGAAACACTATATAGTATTTAGATTTTCTTTAGAACCTCTGTCTGCAAAGGAGTTGAAGATATGCTAATATACGAAGTCAGTCCTTTGCAAACTGCAAAATTAATGAGCACAGTGTAAGAGAATTCTAAGGCAATAAGGCCTCGACGCAAAGGCATGCGATGAAAACATTTTTATGCTTAGTTAAACTGAGACATCAACTAATACTACCATGGTTGCCGGGGAGAGGTTTCAAATAATTTATGAATAATTCTTCAATTTTAAGGTCCTTAATGCCACATTTAAATGACAAAATGCCTGTTTTTTAAACCAGTACAAATCATTATGCATCACTATTAAAAAGAAACACACGATTTAACCTCTGGAAAGCATATCCAAAAATCCCCTTCCCCTTTCTAGTTACCTTGCAGATATCTTCCTTCTCAGAAAGCGCTTCAGGCTGGCGCTCTGCAGCCTCGCACTGCTCAGTCACCTTGTCTGAGACACTGTGACCGTCATTTATGGGTGTAGAAGAAACCAAGGTGTCGGGCTGCTCACAGCTCACAGGCGTTGCACTCCGTCCACTTTCTTCCATTTCCGTTTCCTCAGTGGGTGCAATTAATGTTTCATTTACTCCCTCCTCAGACTTTCCTTCAACAGGCTCAGCTGCCTCGGCCTTTGGGGTTGAAGAACTAACTAGAACAGGGGCTAAAGCATAGCCCTTGCCTGACAACTCATCGTCTGAATTGATTTCACTTACACTTCGACTATCTAACGACTGCACACTAAACGAATCTATTCTTTCAAAAGCATCAGATGAGCAGCAACTCTCAGTGAGTTTTGGGAAATCATCTAGACGGCTATATTCAGGACAAGCAGATGCTGAGAGAAGCTGAAAAGATGTCTGCATCAAGTGAAGACTTGATTTTGAATCTGTAGTCTCTTGTCTTGAACTTGCTGAGCTCTCACTTATTACACTTTCATGATCTAGAACTTCAATATCACTGGTGGTAGAGGTACCTGATGAGAAGGTACTGACAGGAGGAGAAGGCGTGTCGCTCTGCCTGTCTTCGTGCTTTTGTTCCTTTGCTTCCGAAGCCATGTCCTTCGTTTCTGCTGTAAGAGACGGCGCAGACATATTAGACACGCGTTCCCTAGTTGTTTTCACATTAATTACACTCTCAGATACTTTCAAACCTGTGGTTGACACCTTCGTCTCAGATTCCTTATTAACAATTCCTCCATGCTCGTCTTCAGTTGTAGGTGACAGAGTATCTACTGCCATTGTTTCCCCTGAGGATACGCAGGGAGAAGGGTCTTTTACTTTTGACTCAGCTGTTTCAGGTGTTCGTGACTGTCCAGTGTGCACAGCTTCCTGAAAGGTGCTTTTCACTTCTTCTTCTGGTCTCTGTGATTTAACTGGCGGTTTTGATACCACTGGACTCTTCTGAATGGTCTGGACATCCGCTGGAGAGAGAAAGGCACTGAAGAAATTTTCAGCTTCATCTACCACTGTTCTCCGAACTGGCTTTGTAATTGCTTTAGGAGAAGCCACTGGCCGGCTCTGAGGTTCAGCGTTTGATTTCATCCCCCAGGGTGAAGTATCCCATCCTCCACTGGCAGGGGGACTTACTCCTTTGACAAGAAATACATATACACATTTAAATATAAAAATTATATGTCACACTAATACTACAATCATTATCATAAGTCAATATAAGTATGTTGAAAAAAGAAAATCTATGGACTATAATCTATAACTTGTCCCTGTTAAAATCCTTCTTTCCTATATAATTAATTAGTTAGCAGGTCAACTTTGGGCCTTAAAGAGGAACACTGGTGTGCATCTGTCCAAGAGAAACTAGGAACAAAGATATAAGACTGGACTAGGCCGGGACTACCAGGAGCAAGTGTGTTATTCCTCCCACAATAAATTAAGAAAGTAATGGTATGTTCTAAAACCCATGCTAAGTCCAAGATACATATGACGCATCTCATAATATCTAGCAGTATCTTCACTTATGGGCCAAGCGCAGTCATGGCAAACTGATCTTACCTTCTACTCAGTTCGCTTCGTATTAACTTTATTCTTGTAATATTAAGAATAAAACACAGTTATGAGCTAGACAAGAGGACAACACCAAAATACTGGTGACAAATGTTCTTTTCCAAAGATCAGAGTAAACTGATGGGAACAGTAACTTCTAGAGGACAAATTCACTTTCAGTCACTTAATGATAAGCTCATTCTCCAAGTCCCACTTTCCAAACCCACTGCGTGAGAATGTTTGGTTCTCTTTCTATATTCTAAATTATGTCAGCAATTAGTAGAAGGCCATGTGAATTTCAGAAATGTGCATTCTTATTAGAATTATTACTTTTTTATATAGGTGGTAATTTACACTAGGATTTTTTAGAAACATTCAGGAGAAAATATCTCTGGGTAAAATTAAAAAAAAGGTAATTATATTAGTCATAGAAATGGGTGCTATTAAAAAAAAGCCACCAATGGTAAACAAAAAATGGCATATTCCCTAAAATAGTTAAAGCATTTCTTTAAAAACAAAAATTTCTGCCTTTTCTATATTCAAAAGTGGCTGAGCAGAATTATCACAAATTATGCACAATTAGAAGTTGGTGGCCAGAACACAAATACCTGAAAACTCCTACAAACTACCAAGCCCTATATTAAAGTCTACCCTTTAATATGACTTTGGGGCCTGTAGGAAACTTCAGTTTAGGGACATAGTTTATATTTGTTCAGCATATGAAAACAATGTAAAAAGGCAAACACCAAAATTTAAGATGCAAATGAACAAGCAAGATTAAATCTGCTAATTAATTTAGTTTATTAAGTAATCTTAATGAATTATTGAAGTCAAATTTGCCTCTTTGAAAATGTTTTTATACAAAGGCCAGGCTTCTCTGATGTCCACTTAAATTACTCCCTTCTGAAGACTGGTCACGTTGTAATGATGGCATGTATGTAAAATAAAACACAGGTGATCAGCAAACACAGCATTTCACTAAAACCTTAGTCTACTCTGGATAACTGATGTTTAAAAATGAATTTTATAGCCCTGGCCGGTGTGGCTCGATTGGTTGCCTGTTGTCCCTGCAACAGAAGGTTGCCAGTTCCAATCCCCCCTCCAGGCGCCTGTACGAGGCAACCAATCCATGTTTCTCTCACTGTTTCTCTCTCACATCGATGTTTCTCTCCCTCTCCCTTCCTCTCTCTCCAAAAATCAATTAAAAAATCTTTAAAAACACAATAAAAAATAAAAACGAATTATATAGCACAATGAGGTACCTATGACAAAGAAGCTGAGCAACTCCAACAAGGTCTAACATCTTGTAAAAGGTAATAGGACCATGACAGCCACGGCCAAAAAAATCTTAAAACGTAGAACCTCAAATTTAGGTCCTGACTTCTCAAAGTAAAATTACGAACAAAACTCAGGAGTTAATAACTTATTCTTTTCCACAGGTCACACACACCAAATCTGCAAATCTTGACCCCCACGACAAAAGGCTACACGATTCCTTAGACTTGGGGCCAAAAGCAACTGCAGCTCCCTGAGCACCTGGGAGACACCGACCTGTAAACGCCCCCATCCCCGGGCTCCTGGGGCTCGGAGGTGCGCGCAGCACAGCCCGCCCGCCCGCGGGGCCCGAGGGGCCGGGGTCCCGGGGCCTGGC